GTGGAGTCACCCTCATTGGAGATATTGAAGAACCATTTGGACACAGTCCTGTGCCATGTGCTCAAGGATGACCCTGCTTGATCAGGGAGGTTGGACCAGATGACCCACTGTGATCCCTTCCAACCTTATCCATTCTGGACTTCTGTGAAATTATAATTTTATACGATTTCTGTACTGAGCTTGAGTAGATACACTTCCTATTTTAAATAAATCAATTACCCATAAAATAAATCAAATTAAGCAAGTAAGGTGAATTAATCTGAGAATTCACTAGCATAAGCCATCCTTTTCTTTTACTATGAATAACTTCTATCAGAAAATAAAAATAATCTGAATATTGGTTTTCTTAACAAGATTCAGCAAAACAGTCTTCTGTTTTGCTAAATGTTTTCTCCCCAAAAATTCTGGCCAAATCATTCACTTTACAGAGACTGTCTTACTGTTTTTAAAATTCAAAAAGGTAGCTCAGAGAGCATGACTTGGCTTTACAATTTTCTATGGCATGTTTACCGTTTTCTGACAGTATCCTGGTATGTACATATGACAGATGAACTGCTGCACATTTTCTTGTACTCCTTTAAACATTTTTAAAAATGAAATATAATAAATACAACTGCAATAATCCAAAACAGATTTGGTAGAGTCAAGGCTACTTGTCATAGAAAGCATTAACTAGATCCTGTGAGGGGTGTTGAGAGGTTGATAATGTCTTGTCTTTAAAAAGACATAGATGAACTCAGGTATACTCTCTGGGACCTAATGGTTTGGCAAAATGATGATGCTGCAAGAAGCTGTTGTGGTGTTTTTATGCATATCAGCAATTATGTGCTAAGTAATAATCTATCCTTTTCTCTGGACCTAATGTGACCAGGTATAAAGCTCCTCAAAATCCCATCCAATCTGGCCTTGAACACTTCCAAGCTTCAGACATCCACAATGATAATTTGTTCCAGTGCCTTGCAATCCTCATTGCAAATATTTTCTTTCTGATGTTCAATCTAAACCTACCCTCTTTCAGTTTAAACCTATTGTTCCTTGTCCTGTCAGAACAGGCCCTGCTAAAAAGACTTTCAACATCTTTCGTATAAGTCCCCTCTATATATTGAAAGGCGGCATTAAGGTCTCCCCAGGGCCTTCTCTTCTCCAGGCTGATCAACTGCAGCTCTCTCAGCCTGTATTCATAGGAGAGGTATTCCACCCCTGTGACTGTTTTCATGGCCCTCCTCTGGACTCGTTCTAACCGGTCCATGTCTTGCTTGTACTATGCGTCGCAGAGCTGGACACAATGCTCCAGATGGGGTCTCAGGACAGTTTAGTATAGGGGAGAATCACCTTCCTCTTTCCGCTGCTCACACTTCTTTTTATGCAGCCCATAAATGACAGGATATGATTGGCTTTGGGGGCTGCAAGCACACATCATGTATGCACACGTTGTGTGTTGGATTATGTCCCATTTTTGTTGACCAGTACCCGCAAGTCCTTTGCAGGGTTGCTCTCAATCCATTCATCCCTCAGTTGTATTGATATCAGAGATTGCCCTGACCCAGGTGCAGGACCCTGCACTTGGCCTTACTGAACTTCAGGAGGTTCACATGGGCCTGCTCTGCAAGGGTGTTGAGATCCCTCTGGAAGACATCCTTTCCCTCCAGCAAATCAACTGCATCAGTCAGTTTGGTGTCATCTCCAAACTTGCTTGAGGGTGTACTCGATCCCACTGTCTATGTTGTTGGTGAAGATATTAAATATTATTGGTCCCAGTACCACTTGTTACTGATTTCCAATTGGACATTGACCCACCCACTTCACTCTTTTGGTGAAGTTATCCAGCCACTTCCTTATCTGTCTAACAGCCCATCCACCAAACCCATCTCTCTCAAATTTAGTAGACAGAATGTTGTGGGGGCCAATATCAAAAGCCTTACTGAAATGTAGACGGATAACAACTATAGTTCGTTCTTTCCTTGTGTACTGATGCATCACTCCATTGTAGAAGGTCACTAGATTAGTGAGGTGACTAAGAATCCATAGTAGAATGTGGAATATATGCTGAACATATCAACACAGCTGGAATCCCTCCATAGAAGAAGCCCTATCCAGCTGAAGAGCTATGCTTATTTCCAGAACCCTCAATAATTTGCATTGGTATTACCTCTTAGGCACTTCCCTGCTAAAAAACCCTACATCTACACCTCAGCTGTTACACCTTTGCTCCTACTGAAATCCTCGTTCTCTGTCTCAGCATAGTGCTGTTAACCATTCCTTTTGTCATTTTTTTAAAAGGTTTACTTCATTAGCTATTTAAAATATATCTTTATAAGACACTCATTCCCACCCTCAGAACAGATGCTTCACCTTCTGCATCAGTTGCTCATTTATTTGTTAATGGTTTAGGTTTGCAATCAAAAATTAATGTGTTCTTGCTGAACCTATATTAATATTAACCATATTAGACTTTCATTTCCGTTCCTCTTTTTCTATCACAACTCCTGAACCCCATGTAATTTGAACTATACTCCAAGGCCTGAAATGACGCAGTTACCTTTTCCCCTCACCCACATCTCAACTTCCCTGTGACTCTTGCAAGTTCAAGGAGACACTTTCAGTTGCATCTGGTGTTGCATCTGTTTAAAACTTATTTCCTCTTCTTCCTAAGCCTCTGAATAATTTATTTAAATCTCACCTTAAAAACTCCCTGTTCCTTTTAAATTATGATTCACTTCTTCTGGAAAATATTTTGTGATATCCTTTATGAAGCATGTAAAATAAAATGGAAATTTTTGTAGTCTCCTTGAAGCTAGCTACACTTGAGGTACTAATGTGACTGTGGATTAAGAGTTCTGTAGAATCCACTCAAGACAGACTGATGTATTTATATCCATTCTCCTGAAAACCTCATACCTACACCCTGTCAGGCTTATAGGTTGTTGTCTTTCTTCTTGTCTTTGAACTTATAACTTTATTCCTGATATCAAATGACAGAACCAATTTTTTTTACCAGCTTCAATGAAGGTGACTATTCTGGGCCCAGAAGAACTGAATAAAAGGATGCAGTTCCCATCTCTGTCCCTTCAATGACCAGTAGCATTTCCCTCATGCTGACTTTAGATACTCAAAGAAGAGAACAGCAATAGAAATGAAAAAAATCAAAGCACTTCTCTGTTTATCCTTATGATTAAAGGATTAAATTTTTATCACTGTTTTCTGATCTAAGCAGTCTGTGATAAATGGCAGATTCCGGTGTCTATTATAAACTCTGAGCAAGACAAACAATTTGATCTTAGATTTGTTCTAATCAATTCAATGAGAGGATGCAGAGAGGCAAACTCACAAAGCCAGATTGGCTATGCGGTGAAGGTGAGCTTTAAGAAAAGATGTGTGTAAAAATTAGTAGGATGGTGTTGCGCAAACCACATCATCCAGAAACTCATGTGAATTTATAAGGCTTCTTCATTCCCAATGCAGTTATCATAGTAGTAGTCCATTTAAATCTTTTTTTTTTTTCTTTAGTTCAGCTATGCATTTTATACTTATGATCACTTTTATGCCTGAGAATAGTCTTGGGATGGAATCTTTAACTCTTTTTCTTCAACTGATGCTTGAATTTTGTATCTTTATTTCCAAGCCTTTTGTATTCAACAAAGCACCAGAAATGGAAGAAAATTCCAGTTCACATTCACATGACTCCAAGTGTAGTAAATTGAAGGAAACATTAAATATTAAGGCTTGCAATATATTTTTCAATGTTGATAGTAAATGTTTTGGAATATATTAAATAATGTGCTTGCATAAACACATTGTACATGTGGAGATACATTTTCTGCATATTGGAGATCACAGAGATAGAAACAGACAAATGTTAATGTATTACTCTTAGCATTACACTAATGCAATAAGGATGGCAGCACACAGGTACAGGGGCTCTAAACTGAAAGTAGTTTAGATTACATTTCAGGAAAAGTTCTTTACTATGAGGCTCATGACACACTGGAACAAGTTGCCCAGAGAAATGCTGGATATCCCATCCCTGGAAGTGTTCAAGACCAGGTTGGATGGGACTCAGAGCAACCTGGTCTAGTGCCAGTTGTCCCCGTCGGGCTGGAACCAGATGATCTCTAAGGTGCCTTTCAACTCAAACCATTCTATGGTTCTAAGAGTCTTCATCTGACATGAAAATATGGCTGTGTTTGGGCAAGACTTTTCAAGTCCTGTCTGTCTCTGAAGTGTATACAAGCTTTAACTGAAGTAATAGTCAATTTTGACAGCAATATTTTTATGCAAATCTATTTCTAACAAAACATTTCTGAATGTTACTGTTATTCTCTCTTTACAGACCTACACATGGCAAAAACCCCACAAAGCTAGTGTATGAAATGAGGATTTAATTGATAATGTATTGTGCCAGAGAATACAGTCATACTGAGTCTGTATATGAGGGGTAGCTGAATAAGGAAAGAAATTGATTAAAAACATTAATTAAGGTCCAAATCCTTACTTTTTTATTGGAGCCCTCAGTCCATTATTTCTTACCATATCTCATACTTCACTTTCAGGTTGGACTATAATTTCTAGGAGGCATATATATAACAGATTGGCAGTATAGCAACAATGGTTAATAGCAATAATGAGTAACTATAATAAATCATGGCTTTGTTGGAAAGGTCCAGTGTATCTAAGAAAGTTCTAGCTAGCATTTACTCTAGCTCTGAGTCCCTCTAATACCGAGGATGCTGTGATTCCTTAAACTGACTCCACTTCTCAAAGGTTTGTTTTGTCATGCAGTTAATGTTCATATTGACTTTCAACTTTTGTAAGTTGTTATAACCTGATTATTGCAGGGGTCCCAAAGGCACAGAAAGTAAATATAAAATGTTGCAGAAATAAATTAAATCAAGATGATATTTCTATTTGCTTTATGAGCACTATCATTTGGAATGTTTTTTTTTTTTTTTGCTTGTTTTTTACATGCACTTCAAAATAAGTAAATAAAAGTAAATACTCACCCCTGTTATGTAACGAGGTCTATACTGGATGGTTCCAAATAAGCCAAGTATGACGATAATAATGTGTATAAAATTTGCCAGGATTGGTGCCCACTGATAACCAAGGAAGTCAAATATCTGCCTCTCAAGCACAGAAACCTATGATTAAAGACAACAGAATAAATAGATTAGAACAAACCAGAAAACACCTATGAGGGAATTTTTCCTTCCCATACTTGAGACAACTGCCTTGAGTTAAAAAAATACATCAGTCAGCAGTAAAATGAAATGAGTTTGCAATGTTTCACCTTCTTGTTTTAATGAAAGCTGCATTTCTCACTGACAGTTTACTGAGTTATATTTAGTTAGCTAAAATATTCATGTAGACAATTGTACCAAGATACTAAACTGTTTACTAGGATGGTGTGTTTGCAGGAGGAGAAACAAAAATCACTTCGTTATGTACACCAGAAAATGCTATCATGTTCTAGCATAGCAGTGCTGAAAATATGTGACAGACTTATGACATCTTCTCAGTTACACTGTTTCCATTCACAATGCCACCCTTTAGCCTAGTCCTGTCTCTGTACTTGCACTATTTCCCTGCACTTTGTTTTCCTCTTCCCTCTATCCCAGATATCCTGCCAGTGGGCTTTTACCTGTAACCAAATGCATGTGACTTTTTGATCTGGTTCTACTGATAATGACTCTAGTTTACCTCCTTCTACTGTCATAAACAACAGCTGAAGTATAAGCTGCTCCCCAGGATTCTAGATAATTAATTTTAAAATCAACTAACATATAATCTTGGGCTGATGATTACTGTTTCCAAGCAATACCATTACAACAGATATATCAGAAACTAGAAAAAAACTGCCGTTTTAATAGTATCAGTAGAAATAATTGCAGAATTCCAGAACACTTAGGTGTCCCTTAACTGGTGTTTGGACATTATGCCAAAGTACAGTACTGTAGTCCAACCCATAGGCAGAATGGCATGTTTTGACAAAATAATATTTATGTCAATTTTAGAAGGCAACACAATGGTGAAATGAATTTAGACAGAAAGACTAAGAAGTTTCTTTGACACTATTCCAATAGTGTCACTAACTGGAATGGTGAACAGATGAGCCTCATGAAAATGTGAATAATAAAAATAAAATAAAAAGTAATTATAATTGCTGCTACTAATATTTACAATGACAACACTGTGAAAACCACACACACCCCCAAAAAAAAAGAAAGAAAGAAAATCAAGCTGTTTCTTTGTTATTCTATATTATTCTATATTCTTTATGTCTTTATATATATATCTTTCATTAAATGACAGGTGACTGTTTACTGAGTTTATGCTACACTGTTGATTAACTGAATTAGGTCTACACGCCACAAGTCCAGTAATTTTAAAAAAAAAACAAACGCCTTTTGAGATCAAGTACTAAATGAGTAATTAACTACTGATTGCCACTGTTCTTGCATGACATAGCTACTGGAGAATTTTTTTTCAATTTTCATGCTGCAGTCCACTACCACACCAACAACCTCTTTTTTATATTAAGTGAGAAAACTTGCCATTAAAAAAGCAGCCTATATTTACACTAGCATTACAAATTTAAAGGACCTTAATTACATAGTACCTACTGGCACATGTTGAATTTAAGATAACAATTGTCAAAATAATCCTGGAGAAGTTTTGAACTTGAATGTTCAGGTTTCATGTCAAACTCTGAATTTTTCTTTACAACAAAGATCCCTTTCACACAAGGCATCCAACTTATAACTAGTCTTGGTATTTTGCTACCATTTTATCTTACATATTTATTGACAGAATGAGACTCTGTTCCTACTCTCAACTGATTTCTGCCATCCTACAACTTGCCCTAGCAGAGTAACATCACAGAAGGGTTCCCAGAATCCCAAAACGTGTCTAATGGTGACAATGTGATGAAGAAAGAAAAGAAAAATCGAGATGTATTAGGAACTTCATGAAATCTCAGACTGCCTGTGCTTCTAAGTGTATCATTAAGAAATATTTCTTTGATTGCAGACATAGTAATTTATATGAAAAAGGCCAACATGTTGCATAAATCAGTATTATGTAGGTCAGTATGAAGTCTATTAGGTGTATCAACAGGACACGTTACACCTAAAGTGTTGTTAAACAGGTAACAAAGGGAGAAGTCTCACTCTGAACAGAGCTCTTATTTTCATCAGCTAAACAAAGAGTAAATGAGAATAGTAAAGTAGTAGCAAAAAGGGTCTAGACTGTACAAACTTCTAGTGTAGTAACAGTAGAGATTCAGTAAGCAAAAAGCAATATATGGGAGGATGCAAATCATTCAACCAGCAGGGAATCATACAGTTAAGTATGCCAATTATAGAGGAAAATTGCAGCATGGTAGTTAGATATATAAAAAGTAGAAAACCTCACATCTCTGCTACAACTTTAGCTTAAAAGGAAACTTCATTATCATGCATCAAATATGCTTTGCTTTCTTTTTCTTGTGAAAGATGTAGTCCCAACAAAACATGTTCATGGAACTCTATTGGATAAATAGCTATTAGTGAGAATCTTCACTTTCCACATACACAACAGTGCACCTTTTTTTTTTTCTCTATTAATTTCTTCAGTACAAAACAACCACTCCCTCAGATTTTGTGGTCATGTTGAACTTCTGGTGAGCGAATCCACCAAAGAACATAGCACACAAGGCACTGGGTAAATGCTGACTATACAGAACAAGGAGACAAGTCTGCACCATTTCACCATTTCTGTCCCTGTGTATCTACCTTTCATTTGCCACAGGCAGACTTGCTATTAGACTTCCTCCTGTCACTCTGAGGAATCAGCTGTGTGTGAGCACTGCTGTATATGTGAAATGGCAGCATTCTGGTAGGCTGTGCAGAGATGAAATGCTGTGGAAATGCAGCTGCTGTTCCTTCGAAGATCAGACTACCACAGCAAGGTGCATTGTGGATTTATCAAATGGAAAATATGGGACAGAACAAGATCTTTATTCCTACTTCCTGAAGAGATGAAGGTGAGGAGAAAATAAAACCAACCCACAAACAAACATAAAAATAATACAGACTTTCTACATGAGTTACTTTAAAAAAATCTCATTTGGTCTGTGTTTCTAAAAAGGGGAAAAGTGAAAAGTAGGACAAAGTACTGACAAAATCTATTAAAAACAGCTTCTTCCTCTTCGACAGATGTCAGAATCATAAGGGATTTCCTTACATAGCAAGAGAAAATATAGACCTGATTTTGAAAGTGTCAGAATCATAAGGGATTTCCTTACACAGCAAGAGAAAATATAGACCTGACTTTGAAATCTTTCTATTCCTTCAGTTCAAAAACTTAAAATTTTTTGTCAAAAAACTGCACTTCTTTCACCAAATCATAACCACCAACTTCAGATATTCAATGATGTTTCAAGGACTTTAGAGAGAGAAAGAAAATAAACGACAAAGAAATATTAACCTTTTAAGTCAATTAATGGCTGTAGAATTGTCTGGTTTCTTCTTCTTCCTCAGGGGTAGATATTGGTACCAGCACTTTTCAACATCTTTGACGTTGACATGGACAGTGGGATTTTGTGCACTCTTAGCAAGTTTGCTGATGACACCCAGCTGTGTGATGTGGTCAACACACTGGAGGGAGGGGATGTCATCCAGAGGGACCTTGACAGGCTTGACAGGTGGGTCCGTGTTAACCTCATAAAGTTCAACGAGTCCAAGTGCAAGGTGCTGCACAGGGGCCAAGGCAATCCCAATCAGAAAAACAGGCTAGACAGAGAATGGATTGAGAGCTGCCCTGGGGAGATGAAGCTCAACGTGACCTGGCAATATGTGCTTGCAGACCAGAAAGCCAACTGCATTGTGGGCTGCATCAAAAGCAGCGTGGCCAGCAAGTTGAGGGAGGTTCTCCTCCTCTATTGTGCTCTTGTGAGATCCCACCTGGAATACTGCATGCAGCTCTGTGCTCCTTAGCACAGGAAAGACATTGGAACAAGTCCAGATAGGGCCACTACATTGATCACAGAGCTGGAACACCTCTCCTATGAAGACAGGCTGAGAAAGTTGAGCCTGTTCAGCCTGGAGAAGCAAAGGATTTGGGAAGACCTTATGGCAGCCTTCCAGTAGCTAAAGGGGGCTTACAAGCAGCCTGGAGGGGGACTTTTCAAAAGGACATGTAATGGTAGAACAAAGGGTAATGGCCCTTAGCTGAAGGAGGGTAGATTTAGATTAGATATTAGGAAGCAATTATTTACTGTGATGGTGGTGAGGCAGTGGAACAGCTTGCCCATAGAGGTTCTGGACTCCCTATCCCTGGAGGTATTCAAGGCCAGGCTGGATGGGGTTCTGAGCAACCCAGTCTAGTGGAAGGTGTCCCTGCCCATGATAGGGGTGTTGGATATTTAAGGCTCCTTCCAACCCAAACCATTCCATGATTCTTATGGAAACAAGAGATTAAAATGAGAACAGGAAAGAGGAAAAATGGATGCTGTGAAAAAGTACAGTAGGGCTAGAAAAGAAAAATATGCTTTAATTCAATTCCATTTTAATAATGCAGTGAAACCAATATGTAGGGTTATGGACAGTCAGTTCCCAGTGTTAGAAAATAAACACCCACCACATTGTCTTCTTGGGCTTCCAAATAAATAAAATATCATAGACATATTCTTTAATGTATTCACTGGTAAATTTATAGAAGAGTTAAGTTTAATTAAAGGAACTATTCTTACTAATACATTATATTTTTCCCAGACTTCTACTAACAGTTTTAAAAATAAATACAAAATGAAACCAACCCATATACTGTCAAGTTGGAATAGCTCAAACTATTTCCAGATTCTTGTCAGAAGCTGGTGGTTAATAGGTTAACAGTGTTACTGACCTTGAAGAATCTAAGAATTGAATTTCCAGAGAATAAAGAAAACCATTTGGAGATGATTCTTAAAGTACATGATTGGACTAGAATTTCAGACAGGAACCACAAAGAAGAAGCCAGTCAAAGGATGATTTATAACACAAACTCCAAAATGGAAAATGACTAAGTGCCTTTGCTCAGAAAGCTCCTTGAGAAGAAACTCAGCCACAACTGCTTCACAATGATACAGAATCTAAACTTTGCACCGATATAAATTAAAGTGCTCACAGGTGTACACACACCAGTGGGTATGTACAGCAGCTGCCAGCTAGGGTCCTTGGGCAGCAAACACAGCACAGAG